TATAGGTTGATAAACCAGTTGGGATGTGGAAGAACACGAGAAGAATTCGTAAAATACGAGCCGCAGGCGAGTGATTTACGAATTCTTCGAGCGTTCTTCCAACATCCCGCGCGGTTCATCAGCCTATAAACCATAAAAAGTTGTGGTCTCTTGCTTAAATAGCACATTAAAATTTTGAAATATTATCAAGTCTTTAAAAGATCCCCAGTTAAGAGACACTCAAGTAGATAATTATTTTATTCTTCATTTATCCAAAACTAGATAATTATGTCTTTCTGTAACAAGTAGGCTGTATCGTAACATGTCAATAGCATTTGGCTAGGACATATAGTTTTCTACATTGATGTTTTTGAATGAACCATAATTTTAATACAAGTTCAAACATGATTTTTTTGGCATACCTAATTTGCCTTATTTAAGGGAATGGTGTACTTGCAAGGTTTAAAAGAAAATGCCTTGTCACTAGAATAAAGTGCAGTTTTATACTTTAATTAGTCACTTCAAATCATTTGATAACGCAATAACTTGGTTCATTTTGCTGATTTCATTTAGTGAGAGAAGTTACCTGATGTGTTTTATTTTTGTTTTGGTTTAACAACACTCAATCAAATACCATCATTAGTTCTGTTTTGAATCAGTACCAAAGTATTAATCAATCCATGGGCATTAGTGGGAAACCTAAAGCTAAGAGGGCTAGTATATACAGCATAATTTTCACTGCCCCTTTCAGAGTTATATCTACTGAGCCCTCCTTTTTGTGTATATTAGTTAAGCTACTAGAAAACCTAAAAACTTATGTACATATGATATCCATTACACAAAATACCCGGAGTATATCACTCACTCTGGTAAGGCATCTGGATCTGGTAAATCCTCTTGGAACTCAACATAATCACAAAAGAGCAGTTCTTCAAGTCCAGTAAAAAACTCCTCACTGAAAGTGATGATGAATCACTTAAGCTATGCTCATCAATGTCATTAAAAATCTCATTTAAAATCTCAAGAATTTGAAGAGCATGATTTTTTGAATAAACAGGCACACTACTAATTATATCATTTAGAGTAAACAGATTATGACAGGTGGCTACAACATCAGAAACTAGTTCCTTTGAGAACCCATACCAATACCCAAATACACTGCAAGCAAGCCGCTACCCTGTAACTAGGAGAGTGCATGTTTCAAAATGGCCCTCTCTTCATCAGTGACACTTCTACTTTTAATCGGCAGCATAGCTGATGGTGTTGGTTGCTTGTCAAAATATTTGATTGGTTGCGTGCACCCACTTCCATCACCACATGCACAAGATGTACCACAAAAATTACAACTGCCATGAGGTGGAGACAAGGCTCGGGGGCCCAGAGCTTCTGATATTTCGCGCAGTCGCGGATTTCAAGTAAATCCGCGAAATCCCGCGAAATTCGCTGGAAATCAGAGCTCTTGTAGCTTGCCACCCGATAGCATCCACTTGTTTTTAAACAATCACGCACGTCCTCCTCATAGTGTGCCAACTGTTGGCCGTAAAATTACAAAATAACTGATCGGCAGGCAGGCCATCTTGACCAGCTCTCCCAGCTTCCTGATGAAAATCAAGTAAGCTTCTGACAGGGCCAAATAGCACGATGTGCCGAACATTGGGAAATTAACCCACATACTCAGTGCTGTAGAAACAATGGCAACACGCTTCACTCCATTGTTTTATAAAAGTAGTAGCCTCTCTTTGTACTCTTTATGTGAAAGGGACTGGAATATGCCAATGAGGCAATGGATCTGTTTCTTTGATGCGCTTGGGTTGAAGGCTTTTTCTCTAAGTTTCCCCATGAGGTAGTTGAACACACTTGCGATAGAATACATGGTGTCAGAAAATACACTTGTTTTGGGTGTGTCCTTGCTGCACTCCTCTATCAATTCTACCAGCCAATCCAATTGCTACGCAGATTGCATCTGCTTGGGCTGACAAACAACTTGATGGGGTCTTTCACAGAGGGATCATTCGTGACAGTTCTTTCTGTCTCCTTATTTGAAGTTCCAGTCAGAGCCAAAACTGGAGTCCCTGCAAGTAACAAAATTCATCAGATACTAGTGCATTGACTACAGTTAACAGAGGTTAAACGACGCAGGGAAAGCACCCCCTCCCCCCTCTTCCCTTATGTTCATTTGATAACAAAGTTGCACCAACAGTCCACCAGCCTCAGAATATTTTTTAGAGACCTATTAAAGTAAGTTATGTCATATGCTGAGTAATTACTTTGTTTTTTTCCCAAAACCAATTTGCACAACTGCTTTATTTCCAGAACTGATCAGTACAGTGATACAATCCTGGTTATCAAGAACCAATTTTAGATATACGCAAATAAAGTTGAAAACAATGAGCGTCCATTATCAAAACGTATGCAGCTGAATACCAAAAATCGCCCCCCCCCCCCGGGGGGGGAGGGGTTACTCCCAGAAAAATTGGGTTGGGGTTGTGCGGCCCGCTTCCCAAAACCCTTACCCTATTTATGACCAAAATCAGCGATATTCCCTACCCTATTTATGACTTGACCAAAAATTCGTAACCCTATTTATGACCAGACCCTTACATCAAAACCCTGTTTCAGACCTGCGATATAATTAATTCCCTAGTTCAGACCAATGTTAAATTACCGTAAACATAATTTGTGAAGGGCATTTGTTGACAATGATGAGAAAGTGGCGTTTTCTCAAAAACATACCCATATCAAGGCTAGAGTACAAAGACCATACCCTATTTATGACCAAAATGGCCAAAATCAGTTAAAATCGATACACTATTTATGACCAAAACAGCT